CTCTCGGAGCGTCTTGGAGGCTTCTGGGACCTTCTTGGTGTCATGACAGGCGTCTTGGAAGGCATCTGGAGCCATCGGAGCGCGTTCCGAAGCCGCCTGCGAACGATCTTGGACGGCGTCCGGCGGTCCGACGAGCCTCCGGGCCCCCCGGGGCCCACATTTGTGGTCGGGGTCCCGGCCCCGGGCCCCCGGACCCGGTGCGCCGTTATATGTATATATACATATATGTGTATGTGTATATATATATATATATATATGTACACATGTACGCATGCGTACATACATATACACACCGTTGTAAAGATTCACAACAACAACAACAACAACAACAACAACAACAACAACAACAACAGCAGCAACAACAACAACAATAATAATTACAATAATACACAATACTAACAACAATGATACGGTTAATAGTAAGAATAAGAATAAGAATCATACTATGAATACGAATAAGAATGAGAAATATAATAAGAATCAGAAAAAGAATCAGAATCAGGATAGTAATAAAAATAAGAATAATAATAAGAAAAAATAACAATAATAATAAGAATACGAATCCGAATACGAATAAGAATAGGAATAATAATAAGAATCTGAATAATAATAAGGATAAGAATAATAATAAGAATAACAATAATAAGCATACGAATAATAATAATGCTACCGTTTAACATAAATGCATGTGAACATATATGTAAAAATGTAAATGTATACATGAATGCATCTATACATAGGCACATGCACACAGGCGCGCGCATAAACAGACATGCCATCCCCGAACAATCCGCCACCGTGCCGCTTGGCACGGAATGGGCGTGTCCTCGGGTCCTCTCACTACCCCTCTAAGTCTTCCTGAGGAGTTGAAGAATTATTAAAGCGTTCCGAGCCCCTCGGCCCAAATCTCCTGGGGCGTGTCGCGTCTTGTCACGTGACCGTTTCGGGCTCAAGAGGGCCTCAAGACGGGCCAAGAAGGCCCTGAAAAGCCCCCAAGACGGTCCAAGGAGGCTCCGAGTCGCCGAGCGATCGCTCCAAGACGCTCAAGATAGCCCCCAGACGGCCTAAGAGGCTTCCAAGACGCCCCAAGAGGCATCCAAGAGGCCTCCGAAGAGGGCCCCAAGAGGCCAAAATCATTGTTCAGACGGCCCTGGAGGCCCCCAAGAACGCCCCAAGACGGCCCAAGAGGCCTCCAAGAGGGCCCCAGAACGGCCCAAGAGGGCCCCAAGACAACCCAAGAGGCGCCCAAAGCAGCCCAAGAGAGCCCCAAGACGGAAGGGCCCCCCCCCCAAAAAAAAACGACCCGAAAATCCTAGCCTTCCGCCCCAAGAGGCCCCCAGGAAGCCCCAAGAGGCGCCCCGGAGGCCCAAGAGGCACACAAGAGGCTGCCAGATGCTCAAAAGAAGCCCCAAAAGGCCCCCAAACAGCCCACAAGAGGCGTCCAAACTGCTTCCAAGAGGCCCCCGAGAAGCCTCCCACGAGATCCCAAGCAACATCCAACATTCTTCATACCCGCAACCCAGACACAGTGACGAAATGGACCGGAGTCAATTCGATAGAGGTTCCTAGTTGTCTCCCGAAGAAACTGGTTGGACCCCGCTGCATTTTACACCTTTCCGCCCGTTGCCGCCTCGTTGTCACCTCGTGCGCTGGGTGGGTCTGGCGAGGGTTCGCCACGTTGCCGCTTCGTTGCGGCATCGACGCCGCCTCGTGCGCTGGGCGGGTCCGGGAGGTAGTTTCGCAACGTTGCCCCCCGTTGCCTCTTCGTTGCCGCCTCGTGCGCTGGGCTGGTCTGGAGAAGCTTCGACACGTTACGGTGGGACGACGAAATGTTGCAAGTTGTTCCTGACCGCGCACGGCTGCACCTACATTGCGACGCCACCTCGACGAAACACCTCCGCCCCCTACATTTCAATGTTGGCATCGAGCGAGCACCCCAAGTCCGGGAGGACAGAATAATGCAAGTCAACATTGAAATGTGGGGGGGGAGTTCCTCAGAGATCGATGGAATCTGATCCAAGTTGGCACGCTGTTTCTCGGAACGATCAGATAACTTGCGATATTTTGTCCGCCCACTGTACCGTCCGTTGCCGCCTCGTTGCCGCCTCGCGCGCTGGGTCGGTCCAGCGAGGTTTCGCCACGCTGCCGCCCGTTACCGCCTCGCACCTCGTGCGCTGAGCCTGGCGAGGTTTCTCAATGTTGCCGTCCGCTGCCGCCACGTTGCTGCCTACCGCGCTTGGTGGGTCCAGCGAGGTTCCGCCACGTTGCCGCCTCGCGGCCGCCTCGTCCATTGGTGGGTCTTGCGTGGTGGTTTCGCCACATTGTCCCCCGATGCCTCCTCGTTACCGCCTCGTGCGCTGGGTTGGTCTGGCGAAGTTTCGGCGCGCTGCCTCCAGTTGTCTGCAAGTTGCCGCCTCGTACGCTGGGGTGGTCCAGCGAGGTTTCGCCACGTTGCCGCCCGTTGCCGCATCGTTGCCGCCTCGTGCGCTCGGGGTCCGGGGAGGTTTCGCAACGTTGCCGCCCATTACCGCCCCGTCGCCGCCTCGCGCGCTGGGTGGGTTCAGCGAGATTTCGCTACGTTGCACCCCGTTGCTTTCTCGTTGCCGCCTAGTGCGCTAGGTGGTGGCGAGGTTTCGCCACGTTGCCGCCTCGTTTGCTGGGTGGGCATGGCGACGTTTCGCCACGATGCCGCCCGTTGCCACCTGGCTGCAGCATTGTGCGCTGTGTGGGTCCAGCGAGGTTTCGCCACGTTGCCGCCCGTTGCCGCCTCGTTGCCGCCACGTGCGCTGGGTGGGTCTGGCGAGGTGTCGCACCCGTCCCTTGCCGAAGATTCGCCACTTTGCCGCCCGTTGCCGCTTCCTTGCCGCCTCTAACTTGCACCACTTGTACTGCACCACGTAGCTTACACCACATAGCTTGCAGCACATAGCTTACACATCCACAATGCAATAGTTGACCGTTATGGGTCCATGCTGCCGAATGGCACGGTGGGACTACGACATTTGCAGGAGCAGGCCTTGCTCAAGGGCCTTGCGATTCCTAGGCTCTCTTTTCACCCCCAGGACCGTCCTTCGTCCACTCCGAACGCGTCATGCGGTACACTGTTTGATGATCTGTGTGGCTGGAGCGTGTATGTGAGTGTATGATGCTGACCTGACGATGATGTGTGTGACTGGAGTGCGTACGTGAGTGTAGAAAGGTAAGAGAGTAGGAAGGTAAGAGAAAGAGAGGAGGTCCGACGGGCGTTCTGGGTTGAAGGTCTCATGGATGCTCTGGATTGAAGGCAGGAAATGTGAGCGTGTGTGTGGGCGCCAGAGCGCCAGAGAGCTTGCTGTGAGTAATGATGTTGTGCGGATGCGATGAATGCGATCGCTTGGGCAAGAGCAAAAATTGCTTCGGAGGGTCTTTCAGGATCCGTTTGGCTTCGTGTGGGTGACTGCGAAAGTAGTCCTCACCGGCCTACGCCCCGCTCCCGGGGCCGCGGTGTCGGTCCATAGACCGCCGAGTCGGACCGGAGCAGCGCCCTCGATGACGGCGTAGATGGTTTGATACTTAAGTAGGTGAGAGATTCTCCCCACATTGCGTCTGGGTCGTTGCGTGGGGTGCTATGGCGCCTACATGCGACTCGGGTTCCGTGACTGGGCGGTATGGCGCCTGGCTCGAAGTGCCCAAACTTCCCGGTTGAGCCGCGGGGCAACGTTCCCTGGGGGCCCGGGGGGGCGTTTCGCTAGAGTGCTCGGGGGACTGCGCTGGCACCCAGGGGGCGGCCAACCCACAGATGGGAGTGCTACTAGATTCCCCCTGGCCCGGATAGCAGCTCCCGTCGCCTCACGGTGACTGCGCTGTTTGGTGTGGGGGGGGGGGGGCGCCTTGTTTTGGAACAGGCGTTGTGTTCGACCTGTCACCTGTTTCCTCACCGCCGTATGTCGGCTCAACTCTAGAGTGGGGCGGGCGGGCACGGCTCGCTTCCATGTTTGTGCAGGGGCGGTTGGATTCCTAGAATCTTCCCCACACAACTAGCAGCGTGAGGCTGGTTCCCACCTGATTAACGGGGATCGGCAAGTGCGGCGTGGCGTTTGGGTCTGGGTCTTTTGATCCTTCAGGTGCCTCTCCGGGGCGCTGCGCTGTGGTAGCCCCTGGACCTCCCAGGAGAAACGCGCCTCCGATGTGGAGGTGGATGGAGCGGATGGGAGAACGGGCGGGGAGATGTCTATCCAGAGGGTGCAGAAGGCTACGAGGGCCCGAAGTAAACGCAGGAGACAGAAGAAGAAACAACCGACTATCGATCCGTCGACGTTGACAGTTTCAGGCCAGAGTGGCCTCCAAGAGGTATGGGTCCGGTTGGCCTGCCTGCTGGGACGTTGTCGCCTCTCGGACACTCCCATTGCGCCGGGAGGTGGTCCTGAACCGCCTTCCAGGGAATGGGGACCTTGTGCCCTGACAACGTGGAGCTCACTCCTCCTGCGCCGGAAGGTGGTCTTGAACCATCTCCTATGGGGGTAGGCCCCGCTCCTCGGGAGAAGAGTGGGGGGCCAGGGACAGGGGGTGGCCGCGTGCTGTCGTTTTCGGCACTCAGGACCGGGGCTGAGCCGGTTCTCCTTCCCCCCCCCCCCTCCTTTTTCTGGCTGCACACCCGGAGTCTCCTCCTCGGTCTCCCCTCGGGTCCCTCCACCTCCCTTTCTCGCTCAATGTCCAGAAGGGGGTTGGGGGAGGGGTTTATGTGGTTTGCTGGAGGGGCCGAGGGAGGCGCTCCTGCCGACATCCCCTCCCAGCACGAGCACGAGCATGCTGGCGAACATTTTAATGTTTGTTTTGTCCATGTTCCTGATGATTATCCGTCTGATCCTACTGCTCCCACCTTCTCTGTTTCCTCTTCCTCGTTTCTCCACCCCCTCCTCTTCAGCATCCTCTTCCTTCTCACCCTGTCCATCACCATCCCCCAAAGTGGGAGTCAACGATCAGGCGACTGGATTCGATCAACAGATGGCTGAGTCCACGAC